CATTGCCTTGCCCTAAGACTGGTCAGTCGCTTGACCAGAACATCCGAAAATAAGGCGAAATTATACATGGACTATTAACTCCATTAATTAATTATTAATTACAGGTCCCCTAAAGTTTGTCACTTAAACCTTCAAACATTTAGCTCCTATACAGGGGCCTTATAGTTAACTACTGTAACTTTAAAATTTTGAAACTTTTTTCTAAACCTCCTGAACAGGCATCGTAACCTTCACGTCCTTATACATCATGAATGTCTTCCTACATAAGATGCATCGTTGCTTTTATGTTTTTATACATCATAAACTTCTTCTTACACAAGATGGATCGTCACCTTCACGTTCTTTATAAATCATAAACGTCTTACATAGGAGGCCGCAACTATCAACTGTTAAACTTTAACAATAAACTATAAGCCTTGAAAAACCATAAAACGCGAATACCTAAACTTTGTATATATATAACTTCTGGCTTTACAAACAAACTACGCCTTAACAGGTGAAAATTATCTCCTGCAACTATGTACAAAGTCCTTACGTAGCTGCAGTCTCGGCAGTCATCCCAGTTAGGAAGTTAACATCAAAGACACGAGTTGTCTTGTCCTTGCTGACCTTGGTGTTGTCCTGGTACACGGATCTCGAAGACGTTTCGGTTATCTTGGTGACTTTTCCCATCATCGCTGCTTCCAGATCTTCCTTGGCCAGAGGAGGTCCTGCCTCGAGGTCTCCTGACTCGTCTCGAGTAAGGCGACGAATTATACCGCCTTGTGGCTTCGTCGGGGTAGAAGAAGGCTCCTTGGATTTCTTCACCTTGATAGGCCTCAGGTAGACTACCTCGTACTCTCGTTGAATCTCGCCGCAAATAGCCTTCCCCCCATCAGAGTATACGTTGGTCTCTCTCGTCTCCCGCACTCTTACCACCTGTCCGGGAAGGAGCTTCTCTGGCAGTAATGGCTGAGGCCACTCGGGGACTGGTTTTGCTGCTGGTCCCTTTTCGTCTAGTTGTCCTTGGACCGCATCACAACTCTTTCCACGAAGCATCTCCAACATACCCCTTGGTTTTCCAGTAGCGGGCGCCTGTGTTGGTGTCGTGTCAGCTGGGGCCTCCTCTGCAGGCTCCTGGTCCCACAACATCGGAGTTGGGGAGAGATTTATCGCAGCTCTTTCCTCTGTTTCTTCCAGGCTGCCCACTTTTTCCCGTTCGGCTGTGTGTAGTTCCACTTCTTCTGCCACTCTTGGTACATCGTCAGCTAGCTCGGTTTCTTGTACCGCTGCCTTCCCCTGTGAGGGCTCACCCGCTGACTTGGACTTGGCTACCACTCTCCGTCTTTTCTTCTCAGGGGAGGCATCTGCCGAGAGGTCCAAAGGCTCTTCATTAGGAGCTCGAGACAACGTACAGGGTGCTCGTCTCGCCTCTCGTACTTGCTTGTTTCGGTGCTCTGCTTCTTCCGTCTCTCGACTTCGTTTCTTGTCTGCCTTCTTTTCCCTATCCTCGTTGGGTTTGGACTTCCCAGATTCCCTCTTCCCCTTGTCAGGCGCACTGCCGCTACCAACACGTGGCGATCTCAACTTCTCTGACTTCCTCCCCTCACCATCTCTGCTGCCCAGTTGGTTACGCTCATGTTCCTCGTAAGTCTCTCCTGGTATTCGGTCGACCTCGTGGACGTTGTTAGGATGGCAGTCGCGGTAATGGGCTCTGAGGTTGTCTCTTCGGCTATTCTTGTGCGCACACCTCAAACACCAGAAGTGAAGTCTAGGCCCGTGTTCGTTGACCATGTGGCGCTCGTAGCTCCTACGATGCAGGAAAACATGGCACTGGGGACACTCCACCCGCCCCTTTTCTGGTGCGTCACGCTTCTCCATCATCTCCTTGTTGGCCCCTGCAAGTACAACACAAGAGGGTTGGGTTACTCTATCTACTGCTACTGCTACTTGTATCACTGGTCTCTACTCTAAGTTGGCCGGCACGAAGCTGGTCACCGCCCCCCTAGCTAGGCGTCACATTTGTTACAAATAACGCTGCGGCACTCTCCGCTGCCTCACAGGAT